CTGCGTCCCCCCACAGGTGCCTCTACGCTCTGAAGGTGGGCTGGAAGGTGTGCTGGGCAAAGGCAGAGGAAGAGGAGGAGCAGAGGCGCATGGCCTTCCTCTCCCATGACATCAGCATGCTGCGCCTCTTCGAGACTTTCCTGGAGAACACCCCGCAGCTCACCCTGCTCCTCTATGTTATCGTGCGGACAAACAAGTTAGAGTTCTTCCAGGGTGAGGGGTCTGGGGCCCGGGGAGGGAGGCTGCGGGGCTGCAGGCCCGAGGTCAAACTGGGCTTGGACAGGACAGACCGGATGGGCTCTCCATGGGCTGCAGGACCCAGCCAGACACTGTTCTTTTGTCCTTGAGGTTCTCCAGTGTCATTCTTTTCCCACATCACTCCTTCCCTTGATGTAGCACTCGGGAGAGTGGACCCCTGTCCTGCGCTTGCATGCCCCAGTGGACTATGCTGGGCCTGGGATGGGAGGGTTGAAACTGGGGGATCTCTGTGGTCTTTCCCTTATGTGCCCCAGGAGAGGCTGAGTGTCAGGAGGCACGTTGGGAACCTGCTGGGGAGCGGGGAGGTGCTGTTGTGGATGTGGATGTGCATGGAAGGTGGAGCAGAGCCCACCCAGGAGGTACTTTGGTGCCTGTCCTGGGGTGGGGAAGAGCCAGGTGTCACTGCAGTGAAATGGGGAGCTCAGCCATGTGCTGGTTGGGTAGAGTCAGTGCTTGTCTCCTGCTCTTGTGGGCTGGGGGGCTTCCCTGGCTGGGAGACGGGTTCTGCAGAGTCGCTCGGTCCCATCTCTTCTTCCCCATCTCCTGGGCAAGACCGGGCACCAGCCGCCTCCTCGGGGAGGGCAGGAGGCCGAGGAGAGGAGCAGTGGCTGTGGCGCTGACCCTTGGCAGCAGCTGCTTTGCGAGCTGGTGGGAAGCTCGTTGTAGCAACGCTGAGCAGGGGGAGGTTTGAACCAGCTGAGCCCTCCTTGATCTGCCCTCAGCATCTCCACTGCTGTGTTTGCAGGACTGGGGCTCTGCACTGCGTTCTTGTGTGTGACCTGGTCTCTGCTGGACTACCACCAGTCCCTGCGCTCCTTCTTGCAAGACAAGTACGAGCTGAGCCTGGCCTCCTCCATCATCTACTTCCTGTGGAACCTTTTCCTCATCTGCCCCCGCATCCTTGCGGTCGCTGTCTTCGCCCTGCTCTGGCCCTACGGCGTGGCGGTCCACTTCCCGCTCGTGTGGCTGGCAATGTTCCTCTGGGTCAGCCTGCAGGGCACGGACTTCATGGAGTCACCTGGCCCTGAGCAGCTCTACCGGGCCATGGTGGCTGTGATCCTCTACTTCAGCTGGTTCAACGTGGCACAGGGCAGGACGCTGTACCGCAGCATCATCTATCACGGCTTCATCCTGGTGGACAGCACGCTGCTATCCCTGGCCTGGCTCTGGTGCCGGTCCCCCTCTGACGGGCCCTCGTACCTCGTCCCGCTGCTCTCGGCCGCCCTGCCCTGCTACCTGCTGGGGCTGGTGCTGAGGGTCACCTACTACGAGTGGCTGCACCCAAACGTGCGGGCGCAGCAAGGGGGCAGCTACGATGAGGTGGATGCCAACGGGAGGACTGACGGGCCGGAGCTCCGCTCGTTCTCGGTGCCAGACCCCGTGAACAGGCGGATGCAGTGCCTGGCCCAGGCTCAGTTCCCCATCTCCCGGCCGGCGGGGCAGCGCTCCCTGAATGGGGCTGCTGCTGTTGAGTCTGCTGTCTGAGGCCGGCTCCTCCAAAGTGACTTGCCAGGAAGGTAGATTTGTTAGTCCTGCTCCCAGTTCTTCCCCTGGGCTGTTCTGGGCAGCTGGAGGGGCCTGGCAGAAAGCAGGGGTGAGTCTCACGGCACGCAGCTGCCATGGCCGAGCTGCTGGAGCCACGGGG